CGGGTTGGATTTTCAGGGGCAGTACGGCGATTGATAGGGGCACCGCCGGCAATTACCGTTGGTGCCGTCGGTTAATTCGAGCCCTGTCGCCAATGATGTAACAATGATGATAACGATAACAAAAATATTTGTAATTGACGTAACGACGTTAGTGAAGGAGCTAGGCAGTGTTACAGTGTACATGGGGGCGGGAGACGGAGTACATGGAGGTGGGAGACGGTGTACATGGGGCGGGAGATGGTGTGTATATACACGGTGACCGGTGTGTGGGAGAAGATAGGGAGGGGGAGGTGGGAGAATGTGGGTAGGAAGGTAGGAGGCAGGAGATGGGTATCCCCTTGTACCCCCTCGTTAGTCTCATAGCTTGGTCGGGCTATCGGTGTTGTACTCTTACTACTGTCACATATAATTACGATCTAAGTTACGATACCTTGAAGTAATTTTTTTACCTCCTTTTTTTATTGCTGCTCATCCTTTGCCAATGAAGCTACACCAATGGCAAAAAGAAATCTCTGTAAAGAAAACTCAAACACTTGATTGCGTTCAGCCGTATTGTTATTATTTACAAATCTCACGCTCATACTGCCAAACATACGCTACAGTTTCATACACGTCATAAAGTCATGAAATTATTATTATAACAAGTTGTGAACTACATCCAAATTTACACACGTTCCTATGAGTGTTCAGCATATCAGTTGTACATTAACTACGAGCTTGCTTATATGATGCACACATAAGCACAAGCACACAACAGCACAATTAACGTAACTAATATAGTCACTCGCGAAATAGCTGCCTTCGGCTACATTGATGATACTATAGAATCGTATACTATGACTTAACCAAGTCCCGGCCCGATTCCGTTCCAAAAATGTTAAATCACACTGCTTTCCCTTTACCACCTTTCTTGTGTATCACCTTACAGTTTTTACAATACCATTTATTTGCTTTTGGGAGGCGGGATAGTTTTAAGCACTTTAGGTGAAACCATTCATCGCAGCTGTCGCATGCCACCATGTCGTCCGACACATCCGGACTGCGGCAAATACAGAACAGTATTTGGTTGGTCTGGGGCTGAACCAAAGTTGACGGTCCTGGAAGGTTGAGATGTAGTTCTAGAGCTCGAGTTAGTAACTCGGGCATAATAGCCGACTGCCAAATGTCTGCTAGCTTGACCACCATCGCATTGATGAAGTCCTCATCCCGGTCTACCCGCTCTACATGGCATGACAATGTTGTCCACACAACCAGGTCGCAATAAATCATATTCGTTACAAACATCTGCATTTGCATCTGTGTATAGTAAGGGTGGTTTACTTTAATTTTCATGTCTGCACCCAAACAAAACTTGCTATCCTCAGTCGCATCGGCGACGGTTACATCCCGATAGATGTACGGGCACTTAATTTCAATAAGGCCTTCACCACAACAGCTACAATTAACAATTCCATCGGGCGATGCTCCAAGGAATGGATGTGTTTGTGCTATGGTGAATCCTGCCTTCGATGTAGTGCAACGTGTGTGTGATCCTCTGTGTGATGATGTGTACTGTTGAAATGCAGTGTCCTCATGTTCTCTCCCCCACTGAACAGCTGGAGCACGAAGTGGGACTGGCTGTGCAGTGCAAATTTTCTTGACGAGTGACGGTGCTGGACGAGATGTGCTGGTGTGCAGTGCTGTTGATGATATGATTCTGCCGGCGCGTTGATCATGCCAGACGAGTGAGGATGCCTGAGCACGTGTTACCTCCTCGACGTACCGCACTTGGGCGAGAGTGATGTGCAAATCACCCTTCGTTCTGCACAGCTCCTTGAATTCAGCTTCGCACAGTTCACTGTGCTTCACATCATAGAGCTTCCGCAGAGTTTGAGGCAATTTGTCTGTGCTAGGTGCTGCTGTTGTAGGCACAAATTTGTCCGAGTGGCTAGTGAAGCCTGATAGTCCTACTACACCAGAGTCAGCAATGGAGCTCATAAAATGATCTCGTTCTTGCTCCGTAGATGGTGATGGCTCTTCTTTTGCCTTGCACTTAGACTTGTGGAGCCTCTCCTTGGCCTTCTCTGTATAGAAATTGATTTCACTAACAGGAGCGCCTGTCACCTTCGACACAAAGCAAGCATTCCACTGGCATATTTCATCCGTGCAGGCTGAACTCGTGTACCCTAACCTCACGGCTGCTTCGACCTTCAGAAGTAAGGCGCCGACGTGGGAGCAGCTTTCTCCGAGTCTGCAAAAAAGAAAATAGAGAACAGTTGTTAATCCATTAATATAAAAATAGAAGGGTTATGTATAAATAAAATCAGTGAACGAGACATGAAATTTAATACATAAATTATATTTAGTAGTGTCATCGTATACTTGATGTGCAAGCAGACAATATTTATTTCTCAAACAGTTCTATGTATTTGTAGGCCTCTTATAAAATGTCATTTTATGAGTTTATAAGTTTAAGTCTTCTATACGATGCCTACTGGATAGTTGATAATAATATATATAAATTAGCCAGTATGAATTGCATGTAACATGGAAGAGTAATACCAGTATGTTTATAAGAATTAAAATGTATTTAAAAAAAATTATGGAAATGTGCAATTGTTCTTGAATGGAAATAGTAACTCACCCAGCCATGCAGTCACAATGCGCTGTGACAACTGCACCGTCTGTTTTAACTGCAACCCAAGGATGATGCGGCTCCTCTGTCACCCTCCATGATGGCTTGACGTCAGCTTTAAACAGGACATGGTTGCCTCCAACTTTTTTGTGCAAGACAGTCTGAACCCACCCAGAGACGAAGAACTTGTGAGCATCAAGTGAGCGGTAGTTCTTCATGGCCTCTTGCGTGAACACTCCTGAGAACATAATGAGAGAAAATCATGATTTGTTAACAATAAATGTGTCGACATCATAGTTCACTGGAACATTGCATCCTATTTCTTTTTACTTCTTTTATTTAATATTTTTAAGCACGACTCTACTCTAACTTGCTACATACTGTACGTGGTGTGTTATTTCATGACATTTCACAATATTACAACAACTCTAATTTAAGTTATATTTAGTCTTTGTCCTAAACAATTAAATTACGTACCTGGTGTCCTGACAAGGTATGTGTAAACGTCTGGGTACTCCACTCTAGGCCATTCGTTCGGGTTGACACTCCACGAGTCAGCAGGGTGCTGGTATGGACAAGAATCAAGCCCCACTAACTGAAGTTTTGCTCGATATCTGGCCAATGCCTCACCTGGCAAACCTTCTGTATACTGATAGGACATTGCAAACAGTAGGATGTTCAATAACTCAACCAAAACTAAGCGAGGGATGACCAAGTATGTTTCACAAAGATAGAATGTTTACCAACGCTACGTGTGTAATCATGCATGCAGCGGCCTTTGTTTTCCCCTTCGCCACCAGGCGCGTCGCGTAACTAAGCACAATCACGTGACTGTGACATCACGCCGACCATGAGTATCCGCTCCCGGAATCTCGCTCCACGATTCTCGCTCCTCGTTTATCTGAATTGTTTTGTCTGTTATTAGGTCGATCTCTGTCTTGACCGGCCCACCTCCTGTTTTTTTCAAATCTCTTTTTCATCGCATTTTCTTTTTTCGCAGAAACAAATTATTCCACTTAAACTTTACGTCCTCTGCCGATCGCTTGCACACTCCAATGTTGCTTATTTTCTCTGCGATTTCTGTCCATATACTGGTTTTGCACTTGTTCGTAATACCGTTTGTTAGCTTTGATGTCAGCACACTCTTGTTAAACTCTAAACTCTTCCACTAGCAGTGCCTTTTCTGCACTAGAAAAATTTGGTGATTGCTTCTTCACTCCTGCCATTGCTGCGTTTAGCTTGTTCGTCTGCTGGCAACGTCTGTTCTATTGTTATTATTATTGGAAATTATGGGATACTAACTTCTGAGTTAAAATATTTAACTCTGAGTTACTTAACTTTGGATTTAATCCATGTTTATGAAACCCAAATTTAACTCGGAGTTTACTAACTCAGAGTTAGTGAGTTTAACTCAGAGTTAACCTTAACTCAGGATAAAGTTAATCCACAACTGTGGAACCTGAATAGTATTAGAGCTTCGGTACTCCACTGGTTCACCTGAAAATTTGTCGATCATATGGACATTAATAAGCTCAACAGCATAATTTGTTGGGGCGATAATAGCTCTAGAATACAGCCACTCCCTATCAGTGTACCTTTCATTGAGCGAATCGAAAACAAAGTTACATACGTCTGACAGTCTATTGGTAGGCATACGAAATTCACTGGGAACTTCGATAACAGTTGGTTCCATCATTGATACAGGTGGCACTGAACCTGTTCCAATAGCATCTAGGTAATCAGCAAAGGCTAATTAAATGTAAATGAAATTAAGCACAAAGTAATACCGACGATTCCCCAACCAAGGTCTGTAAGCTGCCCATACGCTTCGTTGCCAACTGGCAGGATTACGTCTCTTGGTAACTAATGCATGCGAGCAGTTATAGCCAATCAGAAGTCCAACTTCTACATCCTGTAGTGGCATCAGCTGATATGCTATCTGCTCGAGGTGTGGCCATTGTCTTGCAATTTAAGGTGTTGGGATATGTTCCCAATTCGCGGGCATTATATTTCTTGTGTAAGCAGTAGGTAGCAGGGTTCAACATTAACTTTTTATTTCACTAGACGATCGGGCTAGTAACTGAGGAAAACCACAAGCCCTGACCGAACTTTCACTAGTCCAGACCCAGACCATTGTTATGAAAAACTTTATTTAGATAAGAGTGTGTCATCGTATGAATTCATAGATGGTGCTAGTGACATAATTATGATAAAGTGTATTTTTAACTGCAATACTATTACACGGTAGAAATGTTTAGATTGAGGTTTTGATACTTTAGTTTAAAAACAAGTAACAAGTAAATATAAATGATTAACCTTTTATTACATAAACACTTTTAAACGATTCTTATAAATTCAAATGAGTATTCAGATATTGTCATCTCATATGTTATGATAATTTCTTTGGTCAGAATTAAATACAGTGCAGGGGCCCGTTTCACGAAGCTATCGTAAAACACCATCTTAAGGATATCCTTAGAATTATTGTACGAGAGCCTAACGCTGTCCTAAACGTCCCTCGTTAAAGTGTTTCACGAAACTTATGCCGGTGCATTGTTAGACGGTCCTTAAAATTCAGCTGTAACGATGTTGCTGGCGGCATAGACTGGTACCCTATCTCTACACCTTGCTACTAGATAGTCTATATATAGAGACATGTTACAAGTCTAATGGCGACCCAGCTCACTGTGAGTTGCTACGGTAATCTCTCGCGTCATTTAGTTTTAATAAATGTAGGTACAACAGCGTGCAAACTAAAAATAATAGGTTAAAAGTATTTTTAAATGCCAAGAAGTACCTGAGAAATAATTAAACTAAAGCAAGGTTGTCATATTTCCTGCAACTAGAACTACCACAAATGACATATTGACTGAACAAAAATGTAACATAAATTCTGAAGGTTTAGATTTACGTTTACTTTGATACAGTATTGGCGCCATAGGATATAGTAATTACACACACGAACAGCCGAAGCACATGTAAGGTGCAAGGAAGCATGTCATCTCTTCAAAATCTGCTACCACAATAAGAAGCTTCGTAGCCACACTTAACCCCTGCGCGTCATTCCTTCACAGGCCTTGCACTGTATTCTCGTAGACACAGAGAAGTTACCTTCTTGGCGGGTTTTTGCTTTACACTACTGCTTGCCAAAACAATGAAAACACGCAGGAAATCTCGCGTTGCTTGCTGTACGATAGCCTAAGTACTGCCTGTCCTTAAGATTCTTCCTTAATAGCAATGTCGTTGAGTTAGCGAGACGTTTGTGAAACGTGGAAACTTAGCGAGGCTTTCGTGAAACACTATATATAAGGATATCCTAAAACCCCTCTTTTTTTAACCCATCACAAACTTAACGAGCGCTTCGTGAAACGGCCCCCAGGATCAGTTCACATTGCTTGCAACATTACGAACTTGTCTACACTGTTTTCAAATGAGTGTGCTGCAAAGACTGGAAAAGGCATCTCTATGGAGTATTTAAGAAAAGGGGTTAAAAATCAACTTGTAGACTGGTCACTGAAAACTATATGAAATAATGGCCATGTCATTCGAGAACTAGAATAAAAATGTTTAACAGAATGATCAGTTATGAAATATGTAACACTGCTTGTTGCTGTACGTGTCTGTTAATAGTTTGTAACAGTATCATCATGTAATAATCATTGAATAGTGTCTATACAATTTCCTCAGGTCCTGCAAAGTCTGGTCTTCTAACTCTGGCCACCACAATGCAATGGCTCTTTCTGCATGATAATCCGCTGGATCAGGGCCTTCAATGGAAATCACCATGAGCTGATTCAGCACGCTATTGTTCAGTCGAGATCTCCAGTCGGATTTTATCCTAGACATAGCACAAAATCTCCTTTCACAGATTTTACTAGATACTGGGATACATAGCACGATTTTAACCAGCATACTGATGTTTCTGAAAGTATCCTTCAAGTTTGGGTGTGTGAAGAACCGACTCTACAAGTCCGACATGCTGATACTCGTTGGTTGCCTGTGCATGTGGACCTTCAGAGCTGGGCATTCTGCCTCTTTCAAGTGTGCGATATCACATCCCATCCTATTCAATACTGGCTGAATTACACAGGTCACTTAATTCTGCTTCTCTGTAGACTGCCCTTTCGCTTGAGTTTCAGGCAGATTGACTGGATATAAGATGTGCATGTTTTTCAGCACTGCATCAGAATCTATGTCACCCACTCTTTTGCTTACAGTGTCAATCACGGACTCAATGAGAGATTATTGTTTTCGTTTGAACTGTTCCTCTGTTAGAGTGGGGCGATTAAGTTGCACATATGAACTTATTGTCTGTGTCTACACTGTCAAGGAATTTTTGCAGATTTTTTCTGGTCTATGTTGCAAACCTACAAGCTGCAGATATGCTGTTTCTAAGGCTTCTCATGCTTCAGGTAAACCACAGCTATCATTCTGAAATTGTCAGGAAAGCTTGCTCAAGATGGCTAACACATTCAGGAATTGCATGTATAAGAGAAGGTCATAATCCTTCAGATGCTTGAGGATGGCCTTTGCTCTGCTTTGTACATCCAGAGTCCAAATGTTTCCTTCTACGCTGTTTTCAAAGTGGGAAACAAATATAGTATGCTTGAGCAGGAGAATAGCAAGGCACCTACTGAGATGTGGCATTCATCTTGTACCTGATAGGTTAGCAGGTTTTACAATTTTTTCTTCCATGGCATCTGCTAACATCTGCAGTTCTCGCAAGGCCTTTGCGCTGTACAAGTGTGTAATATTTAATATAATATGATGTAATATTTTTCCACCCCTATCTTTCATGTCATCTAAAGCTGCAAGTTCAAATCTGTGACTCACACAGTGCATGGCTATCAGATGTGGCACTTCATCTTTCAGGAGTTTAGCAACACTGCCGTTTGCCAAGATTAACACTTGCCCCATTTGAGCCAGTGGCCACCAGCTTTGCCTTCCAATTCCAACCGTCATTCAAAACACTGTCCCTGGCCGTCTCAATTGACGCAAGAACACCATTAGCATGAGCATGTTCAACTGCACGGATATTCACAAAGACATTCTTTGGCACACCCTGCTCAACAACTCATGTCATACACAATCTCATTTTCACAAGTAGACACGTCTGTGGCACCATCAAGCATTATAAACAACACATTTGCATCCTGAAGCATTCTGTATGATTGTTCTTGAATGTCATCATATTGTAGCGCCACTGCGCTTATGCCTATTAATTAGTATTTGTTCATGCTTATTAATCAGGCGTTACGCTGTGCTAGTGGTGCGGGCGACGAGCCAGCGAGCGTCGCACGAGAGGACAACGGCTAAACTGAAGTGCAGTAGCTTCAGCTTCCTTGGGTAAGGCACCGAGAGAAACGTAGGGCATGATACCTGCAGATACAGAATGGCTGAGAATTTGGGTTGCAAGACACACTCATCTTGGAGAAGTTTGTCACTCTCATATGTTTAACAGACAATTTGGGGCACATTCTGATTGGTAGACCGTTGATGTATTGACTGTTTGATGTATTTCCACCTCACTATTTCATTGTTGACTTTGAAAGTGTATTTTTGTAAGTTGTTGCGAGTACTTTTTATCAGGTGTGGGGGATCAAACATGAAGTATATCTTACCGTCATTCCTTTCAATGTACGGTTTCTCAACAGTTGCATCCAACATCTGGAATAGTGATCTATTTATTGATCCCTGGTCACACACGACACATCTAACTAGGCCACCAGCATTAATTTTGTTACCTTCTCTATGGCATCATCTAGTAATATTTTCAGTATTCTTCATATTGCACCGAAGCTGATGACTTTATTTGACTCTGAAGTATCTTAAACACCATAATAAGAACGTTCATCACGTCCGGACACGAAAATATTTCAGCCATTTTATTCGAATATCTAGCAGCCGAAATAAACATCAAAACCAATCAACATCTCACAATTTACAACACTTTGT